AAGATGGTGCGAATCAGTGTGCTGCGCGATTGCCTCAACAACATTGTGAATGCCGAGAAGCGTGGAAAGCGCCAGGTGTTGATCAGGCCAAACTCCAAGGTCATCATCAAGTTTCTGCAGGTGATGCAGAAGCATGGCTACATCGGCGATTTGGAGATCATCGATGATCACCGAGCAGGGAAGATTGTCGTGGAGCTCACCGGCCGCATCAACAAGTGCGGCGTGATTTCCCCTAGGTTTGATGTTCCTCGCTTGCATTGCTTGTGAAGAGTGCTTCTGAAGTCTATGTCTACGTACAGACTGAATGATAGCAACGGGACAAGCGACTAGTCAATAGAGAAACATATAGAATAACTACAAGAGCAGTGAACGTGCAAGTGATACTGTTATGTACCTGTTTTGTGTTGCAATTCTTGAGGCACGAGTTTATTGTCTTGATTTCGATATCTGAGGTCTCAGTGGCAGGCATTGAGCAGCTTGCTAGCGATCTCCTTCCATCCCGTCAGTTCGGCCACCTTGTGCTGCTGGGGCCTCAGTGCTGAAGCCTTCCTGTTGCTCGTTGGGTGTGTGAAGAGGGATTTCAGATGTTGATGTTAGCAAAACCTACTGCTTGAATTCCATGTTGCAGCATGCCGTGTGCAGAGTGCAGTGACGATTTCAGGACCACCACTTACGGCATCATGGATCACGAGGAAGCTCGTCGGAAGCACGTGGGTGGCAAGATCGTGGGCTTCTTCTTCTGAGAGTGGAGCCCCCATAAGAGGTAGACAAGAGGAGTACTTTGCGCTTTTGGCTTGGTGGAAAACTCTTCGCAGCGCTGCAGAAGAGCCCCCAAGGTCCCCTTCGGTCGTTGGTCCAATTTTTGAAGGGAGTCGTTGAAGCATGCTTAGCCAGAAGATTCCAGAAGCGTGTAAAGGGAGGTCCATGAAGAAGATGGGCCGTGGGCACCTCAGCGAAGCCTAGCATAGACCCCCTACAGATTCTGTTGTCCTCTATCAAACCCAGGGTTTTTCTTTTTTTTTGCTCTCTGCATGGCTGTACGCAAGTTTTTCTTGCTTCCTTCCTCCCAGTTGATGATCGTCAAGGCATGCTAGGGTCAAATTCCCCAGCTGAGCCTGATCCGGCTTCACTCGGTGAATGTCTTGAGCACCACGTCACTTGGGCTTGAGCACCACAGGTCACTTAGCACTGTTGTGTTCTTTACTTTATTCGAGAAACTAAAACGTTTTGAGAAGACAAGCTGACATGTTGCGCTTCAAGTTTTCAACAAACTTGAGCTTGTTGGGCACAGTGCAACCGCCCTCCGCCGCAGCGGTCCCAACCAAGCCAGGGCGGCTTAGGGCACCAGTGAAAAGATGGTGCGAATCAGTGTGCTGCGCGATTGCCTCAACAACATTGT